CCCCCAGTCCATCTTAATGCCATTTCAAAGAGAAGGATGGAAAGGGGGTGGTACAGTTTGTGTCTTTCCAGGCTCCCCCCAACACACACACACACAACCAGCTGAGAACGTTAATCAGAATTAAAAGCCAGTCAGTCCTATTAAAGCATCAAACAGTGAAGACATGGAGAAGTAGTGTGATTAGGGAGGGGGGATTAGATGTGGAGGTGGAAGGAGTGGGAATGGAATACAATTCAGTCCCCTTGGCTGATGGACTCAAAGAACGAGGGAGAGACAGCGCCGATTGGGTCAGCTTGTCAAATGGCAGCATCTTTGGTCTTTCCTCTCCACTTGCCCCCGCCCCAGCATAGTCAAGTTTTGTGCTGTTCCAAGCATGATGAATCTCTGGCAGGGGCCAAAACCAGGAGCAGTTTTCTTGGCTGCCCATTCAGATAAACAATCTGTTCTTGGGAAGAGTAGGTGAAGGGGTGGAGGTGGGGGTGAGGGTAACCAGCAGCGTGGTGGGGGCTGGGGACAAGGGAAGAAGAAAAGGGGGCCCACCCAGAACGGTCAGCCCTGCTAACCCAGGCAGGGGCCTGCCCGCCCGGAAAATGCAAGTGCCCCTCCTTCTCCTTTGGGGCGCGTGGTTTTGGGGTGGGTCAGGTTTCCTGCCCTTAAGAATGTGTGCAGCAGACAGTAGACGCATTCTTGCTGCCAGGTCAAAGTGGCCAGGAACATTGGGAGTGGGGAGGGGCGCTGAGGGCTCCGGGAGGGCTGGGAGGAGGGGGGCTGCATGCGGGAGGCTCCTGACCACTTTCAAGAATATTCTGGACTGGCAAGACAGGAGGTGCCTTGTACACCTAGACTGCTTGCACATTGGGGATATCGAGGCAGCCTGGGGACGACTGGCCGGGGCAATGGTGGTAAAGAACAGAGAAAGCCAGAAACTATTCAAAATAAAAGGCGGGGATAACAACTACAAAGTTAATTAAATGGGAAGTGGGGAGGCAGGCGGCTTGGAGGTTATTTTGAAGCATTAGGAGGTGGGGGTAGCTGGTTTCGAAACACTGGAGACCAGAGAGCTGGCTGTGGCTGGTGCTGGGGCTGTTTATTGTGCACTCTGCGTGGCCAGGCAGAAAGCTGGGGGATGAGAAAGTGGGGAGGGGGCTGAGGGCTGCAGCGCTGGGCTGGCAAATGTCACCCAGGGGTGTGGGGTAGCACCGAATAAAAAGATGAATCATTGGCTACCTTTTGGAAAAGACATAAAAAACAATAAAGGCGAGGAACTCTTCTCAGTCTGAAAAGCAAATCCATCTCACCTCCCCGCTTCTCCTCCCCAACACACACACACACACACACACACACACACACACACACACACACACAGCTACCAAGAAGCCTCAGTCAGGCTCGCTTTCCTTTAGATTTAATTACATGAAAATGCTGAACAAAAACCTGTAATTACACTCTTAGTCCCTGCCACTCAGGCCCGGCGCACTTCCTGCCTGGTTTTGTTTTTGTGAGAAGAGGTCATTGGCTCTTTTCTTTCCAAATTGACCAAAACAAAAAAGTAAAAGCCCCAAATAAACCCAGCAGCTCCCAGCTTCCCCATCACCACACTAGGGCTCTTGAGACAGGAAATCCTTTTTCCACCCGAGGGATGAGAAGTGGCAGACTAACCTTGCTATTGTCCCTCTCCGCTCTGAGGGTGACTTGTTTGGCGGCCAGCTCTGGGGAGGGGAGGGTGGATACGGCAATGCTAGGCTAGCCACCCAAAGGAAACACTCCGTGGAGTTGAGTCCAAGAGCGAAGGGGGACAAGGCTTAGCATCAGGCTCCCTGGCTGTTTTACTGAGAAGACTTGTGACAACGGCTTGCCTTTCTACAGCCCTTGGCAATCACACTGAGAATCCCCCCCAAGGCCCATGAGGTAGAGAGAACAGATTTTAAGATCGACACTTGACAAGTGAGGAAAAAGAGACCCGGAGAGAATAAATAGATTGCTCTCAGTCAGTCATGTGGCTGCTGAGAGTGTTGGACAAACACTGCTTCTCATGACTTTGGGGCCATTGCGTCAGAAAACTAGGGCACACAGGAGGAAATGGAAGCTGCTAGAATCTAGGCAGGGACCTGTCTGCTTTGGGTCAGCACTGACCGAATGGTAGGAAGTGCTTGATACATCAATGGCAGCATGGCGTGGGCAGGCACGCCTCAGGCCTAGGCAGCCCACATAGAAACCCACCAGGCCATCTGAAAGCCATGTTTTCGCCTTTGACATCTTGCCAAGGACCTGGCAGGCTTGGATCCATCCTCTGTGGGTCTGGCCAGAAAGAGGGGTCCCCTAGATCAAAGGGAAGGGGTCACCTTGTTCCTCTGGAACTTTTAACTCCAAGGAGACCCCCCACACACAAGGTTTGTGAGGCAGGGGTTTGATGAAAGGCTAAAAATACCTTGAGGGCAGCCGTAGCCTGCCAGTCATGAAGTGCCCTTAGCCCACGTACTGGGCTGGCCTTACTGGGTGTGTGTGCACACAGTCAGTTGGCGTGACCAAATGCAGCCTCTCCACTTTGCTTCTTCCCCTTCATCTTGCATCCTGCGGGCCTGCTCAGAGGCGTGCATTCCAAATGCAGTTCATTGCCTTGCACTTCAGAGCTGTCTTGAGCAGCCGGTCTCAACCTGTGGGTCGTGACCCCTTTGGGGGTTGAACGACCCCTAACAGTAGCAAAATGACAGTGATGAAGTAGCAATGAAAATAATTTTATGAGAAAAAAAGAAAATTTATGGTTGGGGGGGGTCACCACCACATGAGGAACTGTATGAAGGGGTCTCGGCATTAGGAAGGTTGAGACCCACTGTTCTAGAGCTTCGGATTCCCCCACCCCACCCCCCTCACCTTTGCTTTCGGGCCATTGTCCGAGAACGTCACAGAGAGGGAAAAGGGCTCCCTGGAATAGCAGGCAAGGAAGGGCTACAGGGTCGTCCCCCGCCCCCCCTCCCAGCTGATGTTGACTGGTTTAACCCCAATATAACCGGTGCCAATTTATGCATAGCCCTGAGTCTACTTATATCCGTTGTGGCATTCTTAACCTGTGAACTATGGGGAGGCTTTTACTTTATGAGGTGCTCAGAGGCATCTGGGACCCGCCAGGGGAGAAGGAGAGCATTTCCAGCACTCTGGACCATCTCTTTTTCACCTTTGCAAAAAGGTGATGAAAGTAGCACCTACCTCACAGGGTTGGTGTGGGGATTTGGTGAGATAATGTCTGGGAATGCACTTTGCAGGCCTAGACAAAATCAGCCATTATTATGTTAATCACCTCTTACATTTTATTAAGTGCATTCTAATATCATGTCTTCCCATTGAAGCAGGCAAGGGCAGCAGTGAAATCATTCCCATTTCACAGATGAAGAAACCCAGGTTCAAGTGGTTTGCTCAAGGTCACGCAGCCATCTGGGACCAGCTAAGTCCAAGTTGAAGAAGAACCAAATGTCAATAGGTACCCAAGGTGGAAACGCTCCCTCTTCCTGGCCGAGTTTCGGGTTGAACCACCCAGCTCAGACAGAACAAAACATTCAGAGGTCTTGGCCCACGAACTCCAACCAGGCCGGGCAGTTAGCGGCTTCCAGTCTGTACCAGACAGACCCAGGGGGTGGAGAGGCCGCCCGGAGGAGGGGCTCCCGGCGGGCTTAGAGGCTCCGCCTTCGGGCGGCCTCAGCAGGAAAGCGCCGGCGGCGCCGGGTCTCCCGAGCTCCGCGGTGGAAATCCCCCGCGCTAGTGTGGCCCGGTGAGAACCCGCTGGCCGCCTGGCTCCTAGGTGCCGAGGCCCGGGCACACGCGGGGTGGTTGGAAAGGCCAGGAGGAATGCGCACCTGGGGCCTTGACAACTAGCACCTTGCCAGCCTTTCCGCCTACTCTCCTCCAAGGCTTCCTCCCCTGCAGCCTCCCCCTCTTGGGGGGTGGGGTGTTTGTCTTAACCCAACTGGTCGGTGAATAGCGCCCTTGTCTCTGGCTCCCCCCTGCCACCCCCCCTCCCTATCTTTTTCTTTGCCTCTATGCCCGATCCCTGGGAGTCTCATTCCAGGGTTCCTTGATTTGGGGACCAGAAAAACACCAGCTCTTGCTGAGGACAGCGCTGGGCTCCCCCATACTCTGGCACGCTGGCGAGGAGAGGAAGCGAGGAGGAGGCAGGAACCAGACGCGACTCCCCCACCTTTCTTTCCCTCCCCGCTCTCCTCCCCTCCAGGAAGAAGGCAGTAAGCCGATCCCCTCGCCGGCTGCGGCCGCTGTGCCAGCAGCAACCACGACGTCCTCCTTTCCCTTCCACCCGGTTTTGCACGGAGAGCCCGGATGCCCGCGCGCCCCAGGCTGGGCAGGTCCTGGCGGGTGGCGCGGCTCCCCTCCCCGGGGGCGCACAGCGCATCGCGTTGTTCTCTGGATTTCACGCTCCGGTGGCTTTTGCGTAACCCTATGCCCTGGCCCAAGTTAAGACTTTTCCCCCTCCCCTTTTAATACTAGGATTAATCCTTTAGGGAAAGGCAAATACTTCCGCCACGGAACCGGCCCAGGAGCCCATGTGTAAATCTCATCGTGTTGTGTTGACACCCCCGCCCGCCTCTTTGCAGGTCCTGGGCTCACACCCCGCCCCCGGGTTTCCTGGCACGGGGAGCAGGGGCTTTGGAGTGGCCAAAGGAGGGCCCTAGACGTTTGTTTTCTTCGGACTCGGGAGAGGCTTTCTGGGCCAGAGCTGGGCCTTGCTTACCGGCTGGGCTGTGGAGTGTTACCAAAAAAGGCCTTTCTCTCGCTGGAGCACTTGGCGGCGCGCTGCAGTGGGGTGACGTGAGGTTCAGCCGGGGCCTCCTTGAGGGCCGAGCCAGCTGGCTTCTGGGATGCCAGGCCCCTGTGAGGAGGGCTCCCCTTCCGCCCCATCTCTGCCCACAAAACGGTGGTGGGGGGAGCCTGTGGGGAGCTTCCAAGTGTGTGGGTGCACTGCGACCTTCTTATCACCCCTTCTCACCCTGGCTATGGTGAGCTTACAGGCCTGGTGGAGAGCTTTTTGTCCCAGTTAAGAGAGGGTGTCCCGGAGAGCACCAACTCCAATGGCAAGGTGGAGGTGGAAGGCCGTTTGGGAAGACAGCTCAGGTGGGGCCGCTGGCTCCCCCCTGCTGGGCCCACTCTGTTTCTGCCTGCCTCTCCACCCGGCGTCTGGGCTTAAGGCTTTCCTCCATCGGCCCCTTCCGCTTTCAGAGGCAAACACAACTTTGTCATTGTTGCTTCTGCGTTCTCTCCAGCATAAAAAAAAAATCCATCTCCAAAACTTTGGTGTCTCTGCTTCCCAGAGCCCCTGACTTCAACATCACCCAGCAGGGTCATTTCAGACTAGCAGTAAGAGGCCATTTATCAACTTCAGTGATAGTGATTCTTCTGGGGAGAAGGGGGTGGAGAGCAGAGTGGGGGGACTAGCCAAAGAGCTATGTTTTCTGAAGGCTGGGGCCTGTGATGGAAGTTTGTTTAAATGCACGTTTATTTCTAACTCAGTGTGTCTGCACAGGCGCGTGTGTATATATATCTCCTTCAGTAACAGTGAAGATAGAGACAGACAAGGAGATGGAGACATATGTGTGCGCATACCAAACATAACACTGTGACACGGGATCCAACTTGCTTTCTCCAGCAGCCTGGCTCAGCGGGTTGTGGCTAAATGGTGATTTCCCTGTATTTCTGGTTTAATAAAGGGAAAGGCTGAATAAATACATGTAAAGAAATGGGTGAATCAGCTGAGCCCAAAGTAAAGAGCCTCGGGCTGGCTGGGATGCGTCTCCATTTCCCAGGCCAATGTGATGTTTTGACTCACTCCGGGTAGCGGTGGCGGCGTGGGGAGGGCTGACGTCTGCAAGGGTGAGGCAATGCTCCGGAACAGCTCTTCGCAGGACTTGCTGCCACCAGCCAGGCGTCCGGGGAAGGTTTGTTATTGTTGGGGAGTGCACAGCGAGCTCACTGTTTTGCAAGAACAGAAATCTGGATGCTTTGAGATGAAAGAGAAGGTTCTCCCTAGAGCTCTTTCCTCTCCACAGTCTTAAAAATTCTCCTTTCCTCAACCCCCCAACCCCACGGTGGTGGGATAGGGCTGGATGGGGGCATAGGCTGGAGTCAAAATAAAACCAGTTACACAGTTCTATCTGGTGGCTTCAAACTGAACTTTATTACAGTCAGTGGTTAGTCATCTTGATCAGCATAACGATCCTTAGGTTTTATGCTGCTTACAAAGGACTCTCACCTGCTCACAGTAACACCACCAACACGCTGATCAGTACTAATAACCAGCACTTACAGCCAGCTCCCTGTGAGCCGGCATGGATGGGGTTCGTACTGCCTGCGTGGTGATTTCCACAACAGTCTGGGGTCATGACAGACCTAAAACTTCTATATGGGGAAGGACTGGGTGCCACAGTGGTTTGGGAAGGGGGGCTTATGGAAGCAGAGTGGCATGGTACTGTTTGAGGGGACCGAACATAACATGAGGAGGGAGCTGATGGAAAACAAAAACACAAACATGCACAGCCCAAAACCCCTCTGGGAGCCTAATGCTTGTCAAAGTCATCTCAAATCAGATTTATTGGGTGCGGATCCCAGCTCTGTCACTTAAGAGCTGGGTGACCTTGGGCCAGAGCAAGATAACCTCTTTACTTTCCTAATCTGTAAAATCAGTTAATAATAGAATCTGCCTTGTCAAGTTATTGAGTGTTTAATGGTGATGCAGGGAGCCCCACCTAGCGCAGTGTCTGGCCCACAGCAAGTCTTGGGAAGCGAGAGGGACCCACTATGATTACAACAGCTGAATGGAAACCTCAAACAGCCCTAACAAGCTGGGAGCTATGGTGGTTCCCATTTTACAGATGGAAAACCAAGATTGTGTGAGGTTAAGTAGCCCCAAGGTCACAAAGCCAGTAACAACTGGAAAAGGAAATTCCTAAGGGGTCGGCCAGAATTCCAGAGCCTGGAATTCCATGATATTGCTTCCCTCTCTTCCAGCCTTCCAGAGGATTGCCTCAAAGCGCATGAAATAATAGACAGACCCGATCTAATGAGGAATCGGTTGAAATACCCCCAACTAGATCTGCGACCAAAATAGCAGTGCAGGAATAAGCAGTATGGTGAGCAGTCATTTTTCAATGGGAAAGAAATCACAGCACGAGAAAAGACTTTGAAAACTGCCCTGTGCTTTGCAAAGATGTCACTATTAGTAAACGCTACTCCCTCCCTTCTTTGATCAAATCCAGAGGGGAAAACAAACAAACACTCACACTCTCCAAGACCAAGGGGTCTCAAAAACCAAGTTCAGAAGACAGGAAGGAGCAGGGGAGAGGGGTGAGTAGAACGGGGACGCAGGGAGGAAGTGGGAAGAGCACTGTCACTCGGGAGGGAACTGCAACTGATGTCAAGCAGCAGAATGCGTCTGCATTGTCCAACGGGACACTAATTTGCTCTGTAAACTTTCACCCAAACCACAGTAAAATGTTTTAAGAAAAAGCCCAAACCACTCACCTATTTGGCCCCTCCAGACCTCCCCCTTCCGGTCCCCCCCAGCAGCTGTGCGCAGCCAGTACAAGGTTTTCCTTAAAGGCCTCGTAGCTTCTGTAGACGTTTGACCAAAGTGTTTAGAGTGCGGCGGGGGGAGGGGAGAGCTCAGCTTAGAGGCGTTGAGCCCCATCGGGTCTTCACAGCTCGGGTTGCTACACGAGGGCACAAAAACAATGACATCCAAGAGGCAGGTTCTGGGAGGCTGGAAAACAGCTCATTTTGCAGGTGTTTCGGCCTCTGTGGTGGCAAAGGGTGTCACGTCCAAACGGGGGTGGGGGGAACTGGTTTCCTTGCAGCTCAAAGGAGTTAATTCCCCGTAGGAAAAAACACAGACCAAACGGTTTCGATTGCCTGCTGGGGGTGGGGGGAGGTAGGGTAAAGATCGGAGGGGGGGGGTGTCGGAAACGATGTTTGTGGTTCTGAAATACTTTTTTTTTTGTTTTGTTTTCTTTCACTTCGGCAGGCCGGGCGAGGAAGGGAAAGGTCAGCGGCGGTGTAATTTCCACCCCCAGCCCCGGGCTTCCAGCTTTCGCTCGCCAGGCCTCAGCTGTGGCAC